ACTTAAATTTTAAACTTGTTATAATTACAAAACCATCAATGTTTGATATAACATGACAAGGTTGAGTGAAGTCAACAAGCTGAACTGTCCCTTTACAAAATCCCGTGTCATATCGCGGGAAGAAGACATCGCGCATGCTCACAACCTCACTTGTGTGGCAAGCCTCTTCACTCGTTCATGACGACTCTCTGCTCTTCTCTAACCAATACCAGTAAGTATGTTTTTTTGTCGTAATGTTTGAAGTTGGTTGATATCAGAATGTTACTAAAACTCATTAGGCGATGTTTGTGTGCATTTCTCGTAGAAATGTGATCATTGTTGAAGCACGTGTTAGCTAACGGTAGAAGCTAGCCAACTGACATTGATATTTAATATAATCATAGCTGGCGGGCATAATTCAGAATATCATTGTCGTTTGTTTGTGGCGGTTTGCTTCCTCAGTCAGTTGGGTTTTTTCCGCTAAAATAGATGGAGACAACCGGATAGAAGGCTAAGACCTAGCAGTAGCATAGTTAGCATTGTAACACTCGCACGTGCTGTAGAAGACGGGCAGGGAAAAGAAAGGTGGGGGCAGGCGGGTTTTTTTCTCCTTTGTTTCTTAACAGCAAAGCTAAGTAAGAGGAGATACACGAGTGAGTCACACAGACCGCAAACACTTAAAAATACGAGCAACCTGAACCAAGATACTGGTTCTGCTGCCCCGTGTTGATTGTCCACCAGGAAATGCCAGCTATCAGCTAGCTAGCTAGAATCTCATAGCGCTGCAGCAACGCAAGGTCCTCTGGTGAAACAATTGGTGAGCATGGCGTTCTGAATGTTGTTTGGGCTATTTAGTCCGGTGTCAGTCTAATCTTTCTCTCGAGACGAAAAAATATAACACTCCCAACCTCATTTTGGTTTAAGACCATCAATGGTAACTCTTAAATTAATTTTACAAACACAAAAATAATTTCAACATAACAATGCTTGTTATTTTACAAAATGCAGCGTTTCTCATACCCTGATAGGGCAATGTTAAACTGTTGTTCTCATGTTTTAATATAATTACAAATGTAAAACAAATCTTTCTATTTTATAACCACAAATCTGTTTAATATGTCATTACAGGACATCCCTGCTTGGAAAAGCATCCTCAAGCTTGAAGGCTGTTAGGCACATGTCCATTTATTTATGATGCTTGCATATTGGTAAGTAAATCCGTGACCATTAAATGACTCATTCATCTATCTATTCATCTTTAACATAATTAGGGTGTGTCTTAAGGCCCTGTCACACTTGAAATTTTTAGACAACTTGTGAAAATTTGAGATATTTACGTTGAAGATGGAATAAACAAATTAAACTGGATGTCTCTTTTAGGGTGTGTACATAATGTAATGCTAACAAATGAATCAAATATATAACTTTGTAATTTAAACAAAAATTCATATGTTAGCATAAGTTGTCTAAAATATTCCAGTATGACGGGGCTTATAACAATTATCAGGAGGGTATTTAAGCATAAATATATGACATAGTTGCTTTGTTTGTTTTAATTTCAGTGACATGAATGTGGAAGTGTAAAGAGTGTGATGCACAAGTAACTACAAGGTCTCTGCTATTGAAYCACTATAGGTTAAATCATGGCCACTTTGGCCGCAGACACCCTTATCCATGCACATATTTAAAATGTCCATGTACTTTTAAAACTTGGAACGCTCTTCGAAGTCACCTATGTAGATCACATGTTGATCATACATCYCAGAGATCAGTAGATTCCACAACATTTAGCTGCCATCATTGTTCACGCAGTGGCATTGCCTCATTAAGAGAACTTTTRATTCATATTAACAGCCATCTTAAGAAACACGAAACCATCTACTGTGTGTTTAATAATTGTTCCTTTCAAACAAATYTATATGGAACATATCAAACTCATAAAAATAGAAAGCACAGTACTTTTACACTTGATGATTTCAAAGAAGGAATTGTGATAAGGGACTCTAATGTAGACTCACTAAATTGTTCTTCCAGAGATCCACATTTGACACAAAGTGATGAGTTTCTTTATGATTCTGATCGTGAAGATGACGTGTTAGTGGTAGAAAAAGAGGACTTGCACAAAGTTGTGGAGCAGAAATTAGCATTAATTTTATTAAAATTAGAAAATTGTTTCCACGTACCAAGCGCTGCTGTTGATCAGCTATTAAGTGAGTTACACTATTTATTAGGTTCTGCTCTGGTGCCTGTATCTCACAACATTCTTGTAGATTTCTTCAATAATCATAACCTGCAACTTGATCAGTTGCTCATCAAAGAGTTAGGCTGTGCACTTGGTTCATCTAACCCTTTCTCAAAGGCTTTAGGAAAGGATGGATTATTAGCCACATCCTTTAAAAGGAAGCAGTACTACAAACATAATTTCAATATTGTTGATCCAGTTCAGTACATACTTGATGCTAAGGCTAAAAGAAGTTTTCAGTATGTTCCGTTGCTGAAGATCCTGCATCAGCTACTTAATCAAACAAATGTGTTCATCAAGGTTGAAGAAAGGAGAAGACAGCAGCAGATAGTGAGTGACCACCTAAAGTACAGATTTTTTGAAGATGGTCAGTATTACAAGAATAATTATTTTCTTTCAGGTGAGGAGTTGAGAATCTCAGTCTGTCTTTATGTAGACGACTTTGAAGTTTGCAACCCACTTGGAACTTCACGTAAAACGCACAAACTCTGTGCTGTCTATTGGATTTTGGGGAATTTGCCTCCTGGCAGCCACTCTTCTTTGTCCTCAATATACCTTGCTCTTTTATGTAAAACTGATGATGTGAAGACTTACGGCTATTCAAAAATATTTGAGCCA